CACAGTATGTCTGATACTATTTTTTTTCTTCTGGAGAAAGTCTTATTTGTTTTATTTCAGCTAGAAGATTTTATTTAAAAAAAAAATGTAAGGTCAAAATTATTAGCCCCTTTAAGCGATATATTTTTCGATTGTCCACAGAACAAACCATTATTATACAACAACTAGCCTCATTACCCTAACCTGCCTAGTTAACCTAATTAACCTAGTTAGGCCTTTAAATGTCACTTTAAGTTGTATAGAAGTTGTCCATACAAGTTGTACGGACATACAACTACATCTAAAGCAATTTTTAAAAAAAACTTTTGCCACAGAGATTGACTAAAAATAATCTCTCAAAATCCTACTTAACATGGATTGTCACAATTAATTTTAATTCTACAAAAAAAATTTATGAAAGAATAATATATATATATATATATATATATATATATATATATATATATATATATATATATATATATATAAATATTTTTTTTTTTTTTTTTTTTTTTTTTTTTTTTTTTTTTTTGATTAGCTAGCCTGTGGACCTATTAACACCTATTTTGTGTTCCAAGGAAAAAAGTAAATCGCAAAAGTTTATGAAAGTGGATGACTATTAACTTTAAGTTTGTCATACCACTCTGAGCATCAGCTTTGAATTTAATCCTCTTTCCAGTTAAATGACTCCTCTTGATCAAGCAATGGTCATGGTTTCTGTATGGTACTAACTGGTGCCAGCTGTGAAGAGAGAGGGCACACGTGGGGAGGGTTTTCTGTGTTTGAACTGCTTCAAAACTAAACCCTACCGCTTGGCCCACAGTGACACTTCTACACATCTGGCCCACTACTCACATACTGTCTTTTTAAAGGACGACGTTCAATGGAAAACATCCAACCGTGTCAGATCCACTACATCACTATGTTGAAGAACTAAGAGCTTCAAAGTGGATTTTATCTCATGGATTTGGTATGTGCTGAAGTCCTGGCAATAATTTTGTCTGCTTCATGTCCCACTTAAAAAATATGAGGAGAAAGGTTTCTATATTATTTGAATGAAACTATAACAATATAGTTAATAATCATACATGGCATAAAAGCTGTGATGTCTTTATCGGAGCCATGTGGAAAGCTAATTAAAATCAGCCATCTTCAACTATTCAACCGAAATAGCTGCTTTTGCGGTGGCAGAAGGGCTACAATGTTTCAGTACATGGAGTCTAATGTATAAATAAATCATTCATTAGCAATCCAACACTATGCATGCTGGCAGATATTCAGATTTTATGCTTTTTTTAACAATTTCAGACCATAATGATTGTAAAATATTGGCCCTGAATGAAAAAAACATCATGGTCAGAATTTATGCACTGTGTATATCACATATGCTAATAATGATATTCAGCATAGAGATATAGTATCATTTCTGAAAATTCAACCAATTAATTGTCTGACCACATGTAAAGGACAGTTTCATTTTTACATTTTAAAGCATAGGTCTCACACTTGATTCCTGCAGGGCCACAGCACTGCACAGTTTTGCTTCAACCCTAAATCAAACACAGCTGATTCGTGTTCAAGACTACTAGAGACTTTTAAGCAGGCATGAGTTGGAGGTGGTTGGAGCTAAACTTTGCAGAGCTGAGGCCCTCCAGGAATTAAGTTTTTAAAGTATTTTTTTAGAAATGTACTCATTCACATTTACTCATCATATTCTGATTAATGTGGAATTATTCTTTTCTTTTTTTTTTTTGATTGATGGGTTTGAATTTTCATTAATCAGGGTAAATTTGCAAGGGTGTGAATCATGTACAGAAAAAAATAAATAAATCGCAAGTAAAAATAATTGCACTAGAGCAACGAAAAAGTTAAATAAACAGTCCTTTATGGAGTAAAACAGTATTCAGATACAGACATTGAATTCTGGAATAAAAAGTAACATTATATAGTCTTCACTGTAGTGAATCAGTAAAATTATTCTTCATTAAAGTTACAAATGTACTTTGTGACTGAATGCTTTAAACCAATGGTCTCAAACTCAATTCCTGGAGGGCTGCAGTTCTGCACAGTTTAACTCCAACCAACACCTGCTTAATAGTCCATAGTACTCTTGAACACCTTGATTAGTTGCATCAGCTGTGTTTGGTTCGGGTTGAAGCAAAACTGTGCAGAGCTGTGGCCCTCCAGGAATCGAGTTTGAGATCTATGCTTTAAACTATCTTGAAATGCCTTTAAAGCATATGCAAATGATAATATTTACTCTGTTATGTTAGACTTTGCAAAGACTCCACTGTATTCTCAACTGTTGTGCTGATAAACTATACACTCTTCTCAACATTGCATATCCTGCGATGTGACTATTGCAGACATGTACATTGCATAATCAATGCTGAAACGATATATTGTGCAGCCCTACGGGTGTTAAGAAACAGTATTACCGCAAACAATGTATTTTGTGACACCATTATATGAAACGTAATTTCACCAGCATGGACCACACCACACCACACTTTATTGTAGGGATGAAAGGGATGGTAAGGGAATAGTGAGATAAACGGGAAGGGAAGAAAGAGGATAAACAGTGAACATGTAGGTAGGTTGTTCAGGCATCCTACGATGATGCCCAGAGACTCAGAGTGGGGGTACCGTCTCTGTAATATTTGGGTAGAGCAGGGGTGTCCAAACAAGATTCCGGAGGGACAGTGTCCTGGAGAGTTTAGCTCCAACCATAATCAAACACACCTGAACCAGCTAATTAAGCCCTTACTAGATATACTAGAAACTTCCTGGCAGGTGTGGTGGAAGATGGAGATTATGGCTGTTTCTCAATTCCAAGAATGCAGAGAACGGACTTGCGTTCTTGTGGAGACCGGTCTTGCCAGATGTCTTCGGAAGAACGAACTCAGGAGACCGCGAGGGCAGAGAACGAGTCCTTTGAGAAATGGGATGCTGCGTTCTACCTTATGGTCATGTGACCTTCACGCGTTTTAAATGGAAATTATTTAAAAACATTACAGCACTCATAAAACGATTTATAGTTTCGCGCCTCTTCAAAATATATATTTTGCATAAAAACATTATAAATATACTCTGCACAATATAAATAAAACTAATTTTAATCCGAATTTCAGCAAACAAACACCCTTTATGTGTTTATTACTTTATTAAGATATTCATGTTAATGTTTACTTTCACCATTTCATTTAGGGAAACTTCTTAGGTAAATAAGTGTTATCTCTGAACTTTAATAATAAATCTAAATAAAATGCTGCGCTTCCCACCTCCAGTCGCAATGACTTCTGGGACTTCCAGAGCGAGTTCGGTGCTCAAGTCTGCATGGGTGCGTCCTCGATATCAAGATCACATCCGGGAAGTTTCACGCGTCCTCCGTACTTGCGGTCTTGGGTATTGGAACTGAACTTAGGCAGCTGATGATGACGTTACACGAGAACACGAGGACGCAAGACCGCTAAAGAACGCATATTGAGAAACAGCCAAACTCTCCAGGACACCGGCCCTCCAGGGCTGAGTTTGGACACCCCAGGGGTAAAGTGATTGGAGCCCCCAATTCAACCTAGGATGGAAGAGAGGGTTATAAGATTGTTAGTGGGAAGTGAGGAAATAGAAGGAGGGAGGGTGGGTTCGAGAGAATAAGAAGAACAGCGCAACAGAGCTGGTCTTCCTTAAATAAGTTTTTAGGGAGTAGCTGATTGGTTAAGGAGACAAAGTGAGGCGTTGTTCCGCTACCAAACCTTTGGTAATTAGTTAACTTTATATGATCGATTTTTTTTATTTTGTCCATACAATATATATATCATCATATTTCACAGTATTATTTGATATAACACACCTGTTAAGTTTGGCAGGTGATTAAAGAGAATGTTTAACCCAAAATGTAAATGATTTAAAATTTAATCTGTTTTATTGTCTATGAGAGAACCTGCAACACAAGCATCTATTTCCATATAATGAAGTCTATAGGCATGTGCAAGTACTTGACAACCAAACCAACAACTGTGGTGGACTAAATGACATCACCAATTACTAGCCTGGCATGCAAAATACACATTTTTAGTCATTTTTAAGATCCAAAACAGGGATAATTTTCACAGCACAAATGATTTTTCACAGAAACACAAAAGGAAAGTTGTTTTTGTACCCTTAAGACTGTCCGCTCCCCTTTTAGCTTCTTTTGCTGTTCTGCACTAAGTAAGTCACACAGGGACAACCTGAGGGTGAGTAAATGACACAATTTTCTTCTAAATGAACTACCCCTTTAAATGAAATGCATACAATGGGAAAAAGATTGAATGCACCTGAACAGGTCACCGTGTACTTTGCCTGCATCGATCCAGGTACTATTGCTAATGAAAAAGCCTTAGGCCAGTAAGAGAAGAATGATTTAACCCTACCTGACCCGCAGTGTCATAGAGCCCCAGCAGGTACTGTTTCCCCCCGACCGTCACACTCACTGAAAACAAAACCATAAGTTAGTATTTTTATAAAATTTTGATTTAAAACTTAAATGATCCAACTTAATTAAAACTACTATTGTTTGTCATGTGCTCCGAAGAGGTGAAGGAAGAATTTTAATCACTTGGGTAAAAGAAAGATGCAAAACTGTTTTAGTTGTTTGAAATCAATCAAATGGGTTCTCAAAATTGGATAATTTATGATCAGCTGAAAGAGGGATTAAAATTAGTCTTATTTCTAATCAATCCACGAGTTGCTTAATATAGATTTATGAAATTCTGATCTAGTGAAAGATGAATGCAAATTGCTTTTGTTTGGATCTTATCAGAAGACGGGTGGTGAATCGTGCCACAGGGATGCTGCTGTGCACCAGTTGCATCCCCAGCCCACAGGTGGTTTCCATTACAGAAATACAGGCGCAACACAAAGCAAGTCACTTCAAGGTCTTGTAAATACCCTTAACTGAATGTTTTACACTGCTAATATAGCCTACACATTGGAATGCCGATTGACGTCCCTTATGTCGTAATAATATCTGGTATATTTACCTGCATAGTGATCAAAGACGGTGGGCACATATTCCTCTGGAAAGGCGTCGTTGGCATAGCTCATCAACAGACAAGTTTTTCCAACGGCGCCGTCACCGACGACCACGCATTTCAACATGATGCTGCCGGTTCCGTTTGCCATGACGAGAATAAAACACTTGAATTCAGCATCTTCAGCTGCTAGACACAGGTATATCCCGCTTTATTAAAGCTCCCTCCAGGCGTCACCAGCGGCAGCAGCAGCAGTGCAGCGCTCGGTGTGCGAAAACAGCTGAAATGCCATTTCCTCCACCCCGCTTCCCAAATTTGGCATTGACTGAGGTTTTCCCCTTCAATACTGGCACACGCCGACAACGTGCCGCTTCCGCGAGAAGGAAGCAAGCGATAAACTTGGCGTTGTCAAGACATGAACCTGAAAGGCGCGTGCTCGACACCATCCGCCCTCTCCTCTGTCCCACTTTCCCTACTTTCCAACCCCAGTCTCACCTCCTCTGACTCTTGAGCCCAACGCGGATTGACTTGCGACATAGGCGGGGTAATAACTCTGATTCAAGGGATCAAGTGTAAAGATTGGTTATCGTTGGGTTGTGTCTGACTCGACCAATACCAGTCTGCATCTTGTGGACCGACTCATTCGGTTACACATCATATTTTAAAAATAGGTTTATGGGCTCTTCTGTAACTGTAAGGCGTGCAGTGAAGAAATAATAAATAAATAAACAAATAAATAAATAAATAGGCTATTTTATTTCTTACTGATCCAACTTTATAATGATGCATGCCAAGGCCTAAATTACAGGATGTCCTTCACCTGTATATAGGCCTAATATATGTATTCATAGAAAAATGTAAATATAAAAAATGTAAATATATATTTTATTAGATATGTAAAATACATACATTTTAACATATGGATGAAAAATGTATATGGATAGGGATTCAAAAGACAGTGGCATATAAGTGCTTTAAAATGACTGTGGAAAATTATCATTTATGTCCATTTTCCAACAACATTTGATGGTTGGAATAAATTATTTGCAAATCCATTACTTAATATGCTGTTGTTTGTCAGAAAACGGGCCTTGTCTCTCTATATATCATTTACGTATTCTCTCATTTATCTATTTAAGGATTAAGTCATCGTGACTTAGTCTAAACAATAAATGAATTGGTTTATTTACCAGAAATTCACTATAACACTCTTTCAAAATCAGTTTGTAATCTGTTGCTATGAAGATACAAGAAGTACGAGTCATATTTTTCGTTTCTGCACTTTATAGATGATCCCTAACACCTGATCGCAGTCCAATCAGCTGGAAGCGGGCAGGCTGGTCAGGGATGCGCTGCTGTATCACTTTTGACAGCTACTGCAGGAGTCACGTGACCAAACAATTACCTCATACCTTGCGAGCGCGTGTGTGCGTCTGTGCTCCGTGGATATGGATTTGTGTGGGCGCGCACCAATAAAACGGTGTGGTGCAGACGCGCCCATTCGCTTTGACATGCAGTGTCTGAGCAGATTCTCCTGTCAGAGCAGCTGTATTATCATTGTCCATCTAACATTTCAAAATATAAAAATAAATGTCTTGAAGGAAAAAAAACATAGGCATACAACAATATCGAGCTTTTAAATAAAATCGAGAAATCCATATTTTAACGATTGCCCCATGAGACTCGTTGGTGTTATGCTATTTGTTGCAAATTATCCACAACTGTAAGCTTACTGATTCATATCACAACAACACTTTCTTTAAAGGCTCTTTATTGGCATTGATTGTTTTATATAGAACCTTTAACATCCAGAACCTTTTTATAATTCAACAAAAGGTTCTTCATAGTGGAAAAATCTAAATAACATAATCTGTAACTTTCTTAATGTCCTTTTATAAATTGTATAAATCCTTGCTAAGTAAAAATGTTAAGTTAACTACATTTATTTTTTATTCTATGAAGAAAATAGAAACTACACTGTAAAACCCTAAGGGTAACTCAAACTATTTGAGGAAAACGATTGCAACAAGCCATTTAAGTTCAAAAACTAATCTATATGAGTACTGTGAACTTACTCCATGTAAGTTGAAGTAATGAGGTATTTAATTAACTCATTACCTTCAAAACTCTTTTGAAATTAGTAGAATAACTTTCAGTTAATTTTGAGTTCACTACACTCATTTCATTTGATAAAGTTGACTTTTGGGTTTTACAGTGTATGAACAGGCATTTAAGAGTAACTCATAAATGCCTTGATAAAAAAAAAAATTCTTCAAGCTATTAAAAAAAAATGGTTGTTTGAAGAATTTTTGATTTAATGTTATTTTTAGCATCACCATGAAAACACTTTTTTTTGTTTCTTCCTGGGACCTTTTTCCATAATACTGAAGTCATGTTACTATATTCCCTATTTTCTAAAAAAAGAAAGAAAGAAAGACAGAAATAAAGAAAGAAAGTAACAAGTAAAGAAAGAAAGAAAGAAAGAAAGAAAGACAGAAAGAAAGAAAAGAAAAGAAAAGAAAATGTCCTAATCCACTAGACTTTCTGTTCTATTTGTTTTTCCATCATTTAAAAAAAAACTAAAACTCTATTAAGACTATTAGGATAATTTTTATGTAATTATTTAAAAAAATGTATTTATATATAAATGCTTTGATCAGGGACGGATTTAACCAATAAGCAAGGTAAGCCGTCGCTTAGGGTCCCAGAAAATCTTAGGATCCCTAATAATTATCTAGTATAAATTACACTTAACATTGTTTAACAATCATATTTTGTTTGGTGAGAGTCAAACAAAAGTTTTAACATAATTAAAGATTGTTTAATATAAAATAAAATGTTCATTTAATCATTTATTTTCTTTTCAGCTTAGTCCCTTTATTAATCTGGGTTTGCCACAGTGGAATGAACCACCAACTTATCCAACATATGTTTTGCGCAGCGGATGCCCTTCTAGTCGCAACACATCACTGGGGAACACCCATACTCTCATTCACACTCATACACTATGGACAATTTACCCTACCTAATTCACCTTTACAAGTCTTTGGACTTGTGGGGGGAAACCGGAGCAGCCGGATGAAACTCACGCAAACACAGGGAGAACATGCAAACTCCACACAGAAATGTCAACTGACCCAGCCAAGGCTCGAACCAGCAACCTTTTTGCTGTGAGGCGATTGTTCTCCCCACTATGCCACTGTGATGCCCAATAGTGTAATGCTATGTAATATTAATATTATAAAATAAAATATTATTATTGCATCTGCACAAATTTGTCCACCAGCCCAATAATGGCCAAATTTAAATAAAAATTATAAAATAAATCCTTTGTAAACTCATCATTTAAAATATAAAGATTGCACTAAGATACAATGTAGAAAAGAAGTTTGAGTGATATATAAAAAACATCTAAATAAATAAAAATGAAATAAAAGTTGAAAGGGTACCTTTTGGGACTTTTGGGTCCCATGGCTGGAATTGCTTAGGGCCCCCAAATCACTAAATCCAGCCCTGGCTGTGATCCTCTTACATGAACAATCTCTGTTTTTTAGTTTAAAAAAAGAAATAAAGAATGAGCTTTAATGTACATTATATAACACTATATGTAAATTTACAATAAGGCCTAAAGTAAATAACAATTTTAGTACAGTTTGCAGTCTTTGCAGGTAAGTATACCAAATGATATACTGTGGGGTTATCAAAAATTTTCACGTTTCACTTTAATCGCAAAAATTGTAATAAATTTATTTGGGAAGAAAAAGTAATTCAGAATGATGCAACTTTTAATAGATAATTGCGAATTCACAGCATCTCATGCTGAATGATCTTTTAATGTTTCAGCATGGTGACGGTGTAAAAATTGTATCATGTCTCCCTCTTGCGGAAAAGTTAAGTACTTCAATGCAGACTTAGGTTTTCTTAATTATGCGTGATTTGTTGTAGATAGAAGCTTTTTGATAAAAACACATAATCAATTTCCGTTCCTTACTTTTAGCTTTGTTAGCCATGTTTTTTGTGCATATTATAATTCACATTTCTGCACAATTGGCACAGAGCATTAACATATAACAGAGCTGTCAACGCGAAGCTGTAAATGTACAGTTTATTAGCCAAAAAATTGGTACAGAATTATGTGCGATATATTGGGACTTGCAAAATCATTCTCCACTGTAAATAACTTTGCAAATCCATTAAAAGAAAAAGTCTCTTAACAATCTTAGCCTCTTTTATGAAAATAAAATGCTCTGCTGATTATTGCTGAAGTAAAATCATTTGGAGAAAAACATTGTTAGAGGGGTTGGAACGTACTGTAAAAACTGCACCGTTAAATGAAATAAATGTTTTTGTATATAAAATCTCTTAAATGAAAGCCATATGTTAATCCAAGTCACGGTCAGTATGGTCTCAAACTCAATTCCTAGAGGGCCACAGCTCTGTGCAATTTAGCTCTAGCATCTCCAACTCACACCTGCTTAGTAGTCTCTAGTAGTCTTGAACACATTGATCAGTTGAATCAGCTGTGTTTGATTAGGATTGGAGCAAAACTGTGCAGAGCTGCGGCCCTCCGGGAATTGAGTTTAAGATCATCAATGTGGTGATGTCATTGGCCCAAAAACATTTCCTGCTAGTTATCAAACTATTTCATAACTGTAACAAGAGGCAATTCAATCATAACTTAATGTTAAAATAGCTGTCATAACATTATTTATCAATATGTGGCTCTTTTTGGATTTTTGGAAGCTATTGAAATTAAAAATGTAAAACAGGAAGTACGTTGGGACCATTGTTTTTGTTTACATCCCTCAAAATGTTCTTGATTGGTTAATTGATTGAATTTGATTAATTGATTGATTAATTGATTGATTGATTGGTTGATTTATTGATTGATTCATCGATTCACACATTCTATGGCCAGAAAAGAAATGAAAGAAATCAATAACATCCAACCACTTCTATCACAAATAAATAACCAAATATGTTACCTGGAGCTTTCCAAAAATTTAAAATTAAAGAAAAAAATTAAGGTAAAAGACAATTTAAGGATTAAAATACCGCTTGCATGGTAATGCAAAGACTGATTTCAGAATAGTTTTAACAGGATGCATTTAGAGTTTTTAATCATCTATTTTTTTAATGATTACTAAATTAAGTGACAGAAAAACATACAATGAATAAAAGAGGGGCAACGGCAGTTAACACATCAAAAAATAATTACAATTTTATTAATTAGTTTATTTTCCTTCACCTTAGTCCCTTTATTTATTAGTCACTAAAGTGGAATGAACTTACCTAGCTTATGTTTTACACAGTGGATGCCTTCCAGCTGCAACCCAGCACGAAGAAACTACGCACCTGCATTCACACACATACACTACGGCCAATTTTCTTCAATTCACCTATGCCACATGTCTTTGGACTGTGGGGGAAACCGGAGCACCAGAAGGAAACTCACGTGAACACAGGGAGAACATGCAAACT